ACCTCATCTGAGACTCTCCACTTTCCTTTAAAACAAAGTTCCAATTCTCCAGTATTGCTTGCGGGACCCCAGAGCATGTCTACACTGGTGCATTCTTGTGCACGAGCACATCCCCACGGCCCTGTGCTTTTGTGCAAGAGCATCCATGGCAGCCTGGCCACACTCTTACACAAGACAGCTCTGATGGTCATTTTAAGCCATAGCAAAATGCAGGACAATGTAGCACTTTAAAGACTAACAAGATGGTTTATTGTTAGTCTTTAAAGTGCTACATTGTCCTGCATTTTGCTTCAGCTACCCCAGACTAACACGGCTACATTTCTATCACTATTTAAGCCATAGGGCTTTCTTGCACAAGAAACCCCTGCCATGTGTCCACACCGCCTTCTTGTGCAACAGCTCCTGCACAAGATGGCTTACACTTGTTAGAAACGAGCATAGCTGTTGCACAAGATGCCCTCTCTTCCAATGCCCTACTGTAAATCATCTTGCACAAGAGCAGGCAGGCAGTGTGGATGCTTTGCGGGTTGTTGCACAAAAACCCCTCAGGGCAGACCCAGCTGAAGGGAACGCACAAGTGCATATTTAAAACACCGTGGTCACTCTGAAGTCTTTGGTTTTGGAGGCAGGAATTGCAAAAGACTTGGGTCTGGTAATTCTGCCACTGCTGGCAGGATTGAGGTTTGCTGTTTCTCAATGGGAAAAGTGTGGCAGTTCATAGAAACAGTCCTGGTGCTTTCTTGGGTGCAGGGTTGTTTCAATAAGGGGATTTTTACATACTGAAGTCTCTATTATTGCTGCAAAATGAGAAGTTGCTCAGCAGCTGCCAAGTCAGATGTGAACTGTAGCAGGATTGTTCCACATAACAGTGACTACCTGTGAATTTACCAAGAGGAAGGGCTTGTTCCTTCTTCAAGCCACCTCCTCAGCACCCTCATGTCATCCCAGCTGTCTCAGCAAGCTCTACATGGCACAGGGGAGGAAGCTGAGAATGCAAGTGACAGGGAAAAAAGAGCAAGAACCAAACTATGGTAAAACATGTAGCTAGGAGGCTTTTCTTCACTGATGAGTGACTCAGTTAGAATGGTGCAGTACGTGAGCAAATGGAAGGATGTGGTACATACAGGTGGTGCTTTTAAGTACTGCTCATGCTGTGGAACCAGCAAAGGAGGAGTATGGTATCTGTGGCTTCAGTTGCATTTCTCCTTACTGAAGATCAGCACACGAAGCAGGTATCTAAAACACATTCTATTAATCAAGTCACACAAACTTGCGGTTTCTATTTCTATCCCATATTTAAAAGTGCATGCATTGGGTTCATTAGACCTTATCTCCCTCCCACACACTCCAACAGTCTCACGTTAAAACTGCTTACCTTTTACATGCTGCTGCAGCACAGGGTAGCCAGCAAGGTAGGAGAAATGGAGAGCCACTTACTGCTCACAGGAACTAGGGTCTAAGCACACATCATGGCAAAGCTGAACTAGTATCTGACTTCACCACCCTCTCCCCTCATTAACTTGCCACATTTGGTGCATGTTATTTTATGACGAATGTTTTTTCACTTAACTATTTACTTGCAGTAGAGATGTCTCAATGCTGCTTTAAAGTGATTTTTTCCTAACATTTTCCCATTATCTCATTGTATGGAAAGTTGAGGTGAGCAGCAGCACAGTGGCATGGTACAGCTCCTCCCAACAAATGTCAATAGTGTTTTTCCTCAAACTCACTTGGACTCTTAAAAATACCATTGCATTTAAAATGGCAGCAGCACCTGGTGGCTCATCTACACTACCACCATCACTGTCTATACTGAGGGTACATCTAGACTACATGCCTCTGGCACCAGAGGCATGTAGATTAGACTACGCAGTATAGGAAAATGAAGCGGCAATTTAAATAATTGCCACTTCATTTAAATTTACATGGCTGCCACACTGAGCCGATCAGCTGTTTGTCAGCTCAGCACAGGACTCTGGACATTCTGCAGTCGACATCAAAGGCATTTGTCGGCCTCCCAGGTGCTAATCCCAGGAGGCATACCTGGGAGGACGACAAACAGCTTATCGGCTCAGCATAGCAGCCATGTAAATTTAAATGAAGCAGCAATTTAAACCCCTGCTTCATTTTCCTATGCCAGGTAGTCCAATCTACATGCCTCTGGCGACAGAGGCATGTAGTCTAGACATGCCCCAAGTCATGTCCACTTCAATTACATACATTGCATAACTTAGAGCATTGTAGACATGACTGAACGTTGACCTATGTCGAAGATATTCTCCCATCACCATAGCTTCCATCTCTTGACAAGGTGGAGTACTGATAAACAGGAAAGCACTCTCCCATAGACATAACCCATCTTCACCAGCTCCACTAACATCCATGTTGCTTGCTACATCAGAGCAGTGATTTTCCCCAGCAGGGTAGATGAGACTGGAGCCTTTGTCCTGCTTTAAGCCAGACCCCCATTATGGCTCCATCAGTGCTCAGCTGTAGAGTAGATAGAACTACTATGAACTGCAGTTCACACAGGTGCATCTTATACCTACCCATGCTTGAAAACTGAAGATGCACTAGTGCAAATCAAAGATTAACCTGACACTATGCTGGGGAGTTGAACTGCTAACCAAGGAATCCCCAGCATAGCTATGACTTTAGCAACCAATGGAAATTAACACATCTAAATCCAGACACACACCTCAGGTGATCTGAGCAAAGGCAAGCTTCATTGCAAAACTTTGCCCCCCCCCCCCATTAATCCCAATTCTATTGTATACTATCCAAACAGTGAGAGCATCTTACTGTACAAGTGATCCCACTGATGCTATAGACCCTGTAATTTCTGGCAGTCCATTGCTACAAGGACCATAAGACTTCCTGCTCCCTTGCTAACAAGATCCATACCCTTGGAAATCAAGGATGACACTTTGTCAAGAAAGGGATGAGTCATCTTCTTTGAAAAACTAACTACCTACCAGATCACTGTAGAAGGGCAGATTTCAGCATTCCCCCCCCCCCCCCCCCCGCCGTCTGGCAGCGCA